GGAGAGATATAAAGGTACTTAACAATTAAATGAGAAATATTATTTCCAATGAACAAATTCCAATTCTTTCTGGATTTAATTGCAAATAAATCAAATGATATGGAATGCCCCGTCAAAATTTCCCTTTAAAATTTCACGATATCGCTCTAAGTGCTATTTTTTCAATTTAATTTCAATTAATTTAATCTAGTTTTAGAAGATATCAAAATTATTTTTTTAATAAATCAGTTATGAATTTCATTTTTTATTTAACTTTTTAATAGAAATATTTTCAAGTTTCATAAGAGTATTGCTTATGAAATGCATACCTTTTAAGTAAAAGCATTATTTTAATCCCTGCTTCGCAAAAATTATTTCGTGTATATAGTTAGAAATACAACTTTTACATGAAGTATGCTGTCAATAATACATTTTTTAAAAACAAATAATGTCTCAATGTAATAAAATTCATTTCAAATATTGTAACATATTTAAATAGAATCTGAAGTTTTAGATCATTTTCTTTACAAAATATAAGTCCCCATTCTAGTTATGAAAATTGAAAAAGAAAGCTCATTTTGCAACTCATTTCGTTTCAAATATAAAATTTCAACATCTTTTAGTAAATTTCAAGGAAAAAACATTGGGAAATAAACTCTTTTCAGATATATTTAGACACATACTTCGGAAATACAGATAATGAAAACTTTCTTCGAACTATAGAAACTTAAGACAAGTTATTTACAAGCACAGATATTACTTTAAAAGTAGATTTTCGGAAAAGAAAAGAAATCAAATTATTTTTTCTCAAAAAGATTGAAAGAGAATAGTTCTATTTGTCACTATTTTTGAAGAGGGCGAGAACGTGCAGAAAGAAATCAATCTTGAGCGGTTTTGAGAAATTGTAACACTTCGTAGGTATTATTTGTCAACACATAGCTTAGGTTCTTTCAAATTTTTGTATACTAAAGCGTTTCTTTGTTTGAATGCTTGAGAAAGTACATGTCTAAGGCAAGTTTTTTTCTGAACATATCTAACTTATAAATTTCTTAAGAACCGATGTATGACTGATATAGGAGCCAAATATAGCTTTTGTGTCAAGTTGTGAAGATCCCCTTGGATCTCACTTTGAGAACGAGAATGATTTTGAGTCAAAGCAGAACCAGTAGCCATTTTAATGAATAACTTTCTTTATTTGGTTATCTTTCCCAAATAGAATCAAAGACTTTTAATAACAAATAATTTAAAATAGACATATGAGGTTTAAAAAGGGCTTTCCTTTATATTAACTTAAATATTTAATGATCTAATTAATTAACAATTAGAATATCGATCACGCAGAGATTACCGCAATAAGAGATCCCAGAATTATATTCAATAATATTCCTATTGAACATTTAACTTTAATCTCACTCCTAATATAAAGCTTTAATGAGACTTTAATTATAAATCAATATTTACCACACTGAATCTCAGCTCTTCCTGAGATTAATTTATCCACCTAGAAATCTTCAATAATAAATCTCTAACTTCACTATTATATCTTCCTACTTCAATCTCTCTCTCCTACTGCTTCTCACTTTACTATTCCGTTTGACTTAAATACTTTATCTAATCTGCATAACAAGGAATCCCTGCCCTCTTTTTGGAGCTGATTGGAAATAGGTAGGGGAATTAAATTTCCCTAAAAAGACGTCTCAGAAGGTTAGTGATAAAGTTCCGTATAGATTTGTCACAAAGTAAGCCAATCAAATTGTAAATTGTCGTTAGCAGATTGAACTAAAGTTATCTTTTATAGAAAAAGACTAGGTCTTTCTTCATAAATTTATTGCATTAAATATCCACACACTCTAGATTTATATGCATTAAATAAGGCTAGAATATCTAACAATTAATTTTACGAGAAATAATACATAGTTTTTGTTCAAGTATGCGCAGTGGGCACCGCCCGGCGGTGATTAAGTGTATTAAGCGAAACGAGAATTTCAGGGAGATCAGACGAGCGAGAGCGTGGAATCACGGTGCCCATCGCAAGTGTCCGACATACCCGAGCAACCGAGTGTGAAAATAAAGGTGTTTTGTCAACATCCTCGTCCGGTTTCCTGAGAGAAAACACATAGGGACCACTTCCCAACAGTTTTAACAATTAAGAAGAAAATTATATAATTTGCCTTTTAATATATATTTTAAACCACACAGATAAATTATATTCTAATCATATTTCGGAATAAAAAGAAACAGAAAAGAATATTATCCTAGATATTTTCTTGTATTTATGTCATAGTCTGTAATGTTTTACATGAAATTTCTATAAAAAAATATCACCTGCATAAATATATCTTTCGGCTGTTTTCGCCATATGTACGACCGCGTAATGTTAACGCGAAGCACATTTTCGGGCAGAAAACATATCTGAATTTTTATAAAAATCTGTGACATTGTAATTCATGTATTTGTTTATAGTATAGTGTTTTAAAAATTTCAAAACATTTAATACTTAATAGTTTTCCCCTTTAAAATA